CTACTGCAGCTTAAGAACGAATGTGCCGCGGCCCTACAACGAGAACCACATATTGAAAACGATGCCTGTTGACACATCGAAGCTGCAGGGGCATAACAGTGAAGGCTTCTCTGGCGCAATGCCGGCCCGCCCTACTGACGCGTCCAGTGGCGCCACGAGGAGTCACGCGCATTGCTTCGGAAGACGATGGAGCGAGGAAGGCGGAGGGAGGAGGGAGGAGGGAGGCGTGGGGGGCAGGGAGGAGGAAAGAAAAAGGGGAGGGAGGAAGATTCCCAGTGCCTTCCCCTTCCAGGCCGCCTTCTCGGGGGGGGCCGCCACGTCGCCAGCACCCAGAGGTGGCTTGTGGCTTGTGGCCTGTGGCTTTCCGCCCAGGCGCTGAGAAACAAATGCCCCCCCGTGATGTTGCTCCCATCGCACTTGACCACATCCCAGAAATAATTTCGAGCACATCGAATAGTGTCGAAATAGTATCGAACGAGTATCGCCTCCCAGGGCCCGACACGTGAAAGCCCTCCAGCTTCGGTAGTTTCCTGGTGCTCGAAACTATTTCTGGCGATCAAAGCTCTAAAGTAGGTTGGACCATCAGAACGCCCACGATGGACACACACGCCTGCGCAGGCACGGCTGCGCGACAGCGGGCAGCGGCACTGCGGAACCGTGAAAGACAAGAGCCCTCTGGCAGCGCACGCCCTGGAGCCAGCCATAGCACGACGGTTTCGCGCAGGGTGGCGGCGCGCGTCTCTTGGCTTTGGGCTCCATCAGCGACGACGAGGCCTCAGCGCGCATACCACCCCTCGAGCGCATCGTGTAGCTTTTTTGGTTATCCTCTTCCTATATGTTTGCAATCCTGGTGGTGGCACCCTCCCCAAAAAACCAGACCCCCAGATCCGTGGCCCTGGGTGCCCAATGGACGCCCCTGCGGGAAGCCCCCCAGGCTTTCCCGAGCTCCTGGAAGCCCCTGCTGGGCCAAGGCAACGCGCCCAAATCGGTCAGGAGGGCGGCCGAACGGCCCCCCGAGGGCCCCAAGAGGCCCCAGACACCCAGCAGGCACCCGAAGACGACCCAAAGAAGACCCCCAAGAGGCTTTCGAAACGCAGGAAAAACATATGTTCAATGGATGTCGCATGATTAAAGGAATGCTTTGTTTTTCGGTCTTGCGGACATCCGAGACCGCCCAGGAAGTCCGAAAATGGCCCCAAAACTATCCGGAAGGGGTTCGGGCAGTCCAGGAGAGCCCCAAGACAGAACAACCAGATTCCAAGATGGCCCGAAGATAATCCCATGACGGCCCAATATGGCCCCAAGACGCCACCCCAAGCATTCCAAATCGTGACCCGGACGTTGAAGGAGACCGCGGTTGGAAGCAGGATGGCCCGAGGAAGCCCCCAGAAGGCGCCCAAGCTTCTAGAAGCCCGCCAGAAGCCCTGAAAAACTTTCGTGACTCACCCAACAGGCTATCCAAGGAGGAGCCTTCGCAAGAAGAGCTGAGGATGATAGGGGAAGAACTCGCATGGTAGGGCGAGAAGGTGGAAGAGAAAGAGGAAGCACGAGGAAAAAATAACGAACAGCATGAAAACAACGGCAGTGTCGGAAAAAACAACAAGGCGGCATCGCGGAAAAGTCTGTGTTACCCCCTGCCCGTCCGCCCACATGCCAAACTTCAAGGACCGAGGTACATGGCGCGAAGCGCCAGCGCAGCCTTGCTCTTGTATGTCTTCAAATCCTCTTGATGGGTTTGTTTTCCACCACCACCATAAGTTGTATGGGGCGGAGGAGGAGGAAAACGAGGAGGAGGAGAACGAAGAGGAGGCGGAGGAGGAGGAAGAGGAGTGTGAGGAGGAGGAGGAGGAGGAGGAGGAGGAGAAGGAGGAGGAGACCCATCGGTTCTATGTTAATCTTAATTTCTCCTCGAGCGCATCGCACAGAGAGCACTGGCCACGCCCAGGTCGCAGGGCGCCGCCGCGCGGCGAGGGCGCACGTTGGTGAAAGCGAAGGCGCGCGGCGGACCCCCAGGCGAGCACGGGGCAGAGCTCTGGGGCAGCCAAGAGGGGGGCGTCCAAGAGGGTCCTCCTCATCCTCCTCCTCCTCCTCCTGCTCCTTCTTCGCCTCCTCCTCCTCCGCCTCCTCCTCCTCGTCCGCCTCCTCCTCCTCCTCCAGGGACGCATTCAAATATGAAGAGGCGCCAGGAAATCTGGGGAGATATCGTGGCCATGAGATCCCCCCCACCCTAGTCCTCAACCCCCCTCTCTGCCGCCCCCGAAGAGCCAGAACCGCGAGAAGCAACGGCATGTGGCACCGCACTCTCATTCGATCACGCAGCAGGGGCCATTCGCTCGCGCGCTGGAGCTGGCCAGGCGCTCGGCAGACTAATGGACCAACTGCGGGAGGAAGACAGGGCAGGGGTGAGCGGCCGCGGAGGACAGGAGGGGGAGGAGGGCACGAACCGCGGAACAAAAATCTCAGGATGAGCGCGCCGGGGCGGCCAGCCATGTGACGGGACGCATACGCGAACGCGGGCACAGGGCAGGACGGCAGTTGACCCGAAACCAGCCAGTGGAGAGGTAATTGTCGACGCGCGGTCAGAGCGAACCGAACTCCTCCCTCCTCCCCCCCGAACTCCTCCTCCCTCCCCCCAAGGACGACGACGACGACGACGACGACGACGACGACGACGACGACGACCGCCGTTGCCGCGTGGCGACTACGGCGCAGGCGCGGACTGTCCAAGGACGTGGGCGGGAGGCAGGTGAGGGAAAGGAATGCAAAGTCTCAACTTGGGACCCCTTCCAGCAGCGGGGAGCCCCCCTGTCTGGGTGGTTAGTCGGGGCACTGGTGGTTCTTCTCCGCCAGGCAGGGCAGCAATACCAATTCTGTCGACGCTGATGTTTGAGGCTTCTCCATCCCTGCAAATCCACACAGTTCCCCAAGCAGCGCTACGGTCCCAGACGAACCCTCATGCTGGGTCGACCGACCGGCCCACTTCATCCTCGGCTTCCTCCCGTCCTCCTCCTGAACCTCAGTCTCCTCATTCCCTCTGGTCCCTCCTCCCTCCTTCCCAACCTCCTCTTCCTCCTCCTCCTCGTCAATCATCATCATCATCATCATCATCATCATCATCATCATCATCATCATCATCATCATCATCATCATCATCATCATCGTCGTCGTCGTCGTCATCATCATCATCAGCAGCAGCAGCAGCAGCAGCAGTAGCATAATCAGCATCATCATTAGCAGCATCATCATCACCACCACCACCACCATCATCATCATCATCATCATCATCATCATCATCATCATCATCATCATCATCATCATCATCGTCGTCGTCATCATCATCATCATCAGCAGCAGCAGCAGCAGTAGCATAATCAGCATCATCATTAGCAGCATCATCATCACCACCACCACCACCATCATCATCATCATCATCATCATCATCATCATCATCATCATCGTCGTCGTCATCACCATCATCATCAGCATCATCATCATCAGCATCATCATCATCATCCTCGTCGTCATCGTCGTCGTCATCATCAGCATCATCATCAGCATCATCAGCAGCATCATCATAATCAGTATCATCAGCATCATCATCAACGTCACCATCGTCATCATCATCAGCATCATCATGAACGTCATCAGTATCATCACCATCATCATCATCATCATCATCATCATCATCATCATTACCATCAGCATCGGCATCAGCATAATCATCATCAGCAGCATCAGCATGATCGTCATCATCATCGTCATCCTGATCATCATCAGCAGCATCAGCATCATCGGGAGCATCGTCATCATCATCGTCATTATCGTCATCAGCATCATAAGCATCCTCATGCTCCTCATCATCATCAGCCTCATCACTATAATCATCAGAATGATCATCAGCACCATCAGCATCATCAACATCATAATCATCGTCATCAGCATCATCGTCAGCATCATCATAATCATCAGCAGCAGCATCATCATCAGCATCATCATCATCAGCAGCATCAGCATCATTATCATCATCGTCATCGTCATCGTCATCGTAATCCATCCATCCCCCCTCCTCATCCCTCCTCCTCCTCGTCCTTTGCGTTCGAACGGGCAGACAGGCAGACAGACATACAGACAGGCCCGAAAGGCGGTCCTTTCAGAGGGCGGGCGTATGTGACACGCAGTCCCTCACTTTGAAGAGACAATGGGTTGCCGCTTCATTCACAAACGTTGGGAGAAAACAGAAACCACGTGCAAGTGCATCACGCAAGGCTCAACAGCTTCCCCTTCATGACAGACCCTTCCCCTATCGAACTCCAAGTGTCATCCTGTGCCGCACAACGCTGCCACGAACCGCTGATGCGCTGCGTGGTGATGCACTCACGAACGTCATCGTCCCAGCGTTCGAAGGGCAAGGGCGGGAAACGTGAAGGCTTCGGGTCCCTCCAGGCACCCCGATCTGGCCTAATTCGGCGCGCCCCCACCGAAAGGCCGACCCCAGCGTCCCGAGGATGGCGGGGCTCGGCAGGCACTTCTGCCGGCGCCTAAGTTTTCGATCCCGAGGTTGCACCGGCAGCCTACATCTGTGCCCCACCTGCCTCGGGGAGGGAGAGAAGACCCCACCCCCACGGGAACCGCTTGATCATGTCGTTGATGGTCCTCCCGAAATAGAGCTCGAGAGCGCCTGGCCGTAGCAACGGGGGGAGGAGGAGGGGGACCTCTGGTGGGCTCTACGCGGAGATCTCGAAAGGTCTCCAAGAAAACAAAAGGATCGGCGACAGGAATGCGAAGGTCTCACAGCTTGAAAGGGAGCTGGCCAGTCCCCATCACTTGCTCCTGCTCCTGCTCCTGCTCCTCCTCCTCCTCCTCCTCCACCTCCTTATCCTCCTCCTGCTCCTGCTCATCCTCCACCTCATTGTTGCTTGCCAGTGATTTCAGGGTCTGTCGGACGCAGCCATCCCCCCTTCCAACGGGCATTAGTCCCTTGGGGGGTGATCGCACTTGAGTGCCAAGCAGCGAGATCGCTGTGGCGTTTACCTGCAAGGTAAAAATGGACAAGAACAAAGGTAGCGCTCGGTGCAGACAAGAGAAAAGAAGAGGAGGCGGATCACATGAGAGGACGGAGTGGAGGTTAAAGGCGAGCAACAGCTTCGCGGCAACATGGCGACAGGCAGCAAGGCAGGTGCGGCCGTTGCTGCTGCTCCTCTTGCTGCTCATCACGCAGCCGACTGCTACTTATCACCACCATGCCCGTCCTCCCCCTTCTACTCTTCCCTCCTCTTCCATCTTCTCTTCCCTCTCTTCCTCCTCCTCCTCCTCCTCCTCCTCCTCCTCCTCCTCCTCCTCCTCCTCCCCTCCTTCTCCTCCTCCCCCTCCTCCTCCTCCTCCACCTCCTCGCACCAACCGTCACGGCCACAACATGGCCGCAACGTGGGAGCGGGGCTGCGCCGATCTTGTAGAAGCGGTCGAGTTCGGCGCCGAAGTAGACCTTGTGTGTCCTCAGCTTTTCGACGCTCTTGAAGCAGATCTGGAGCCTCACCTGGCCCCGCATGGAGCAGGGAGCAGGGAGCGGGGAAGCCCGAGCACAAGACCACTGTGCCATGGCCTGCTTCTAAGAGTCAGCTATCGGTGTCCAGATCTGCCCAGGTCGGTCTCACACCTCTCCCTTGCCTGCCGCCTCCTCCCCCTCCTCCTTTTCTTTTTCCTCCTCCTCCTCCTCCTCATCATCATCATCATCATCAGCATCACCATCATCATCATCAGCATCATCTTCATCATCAGCATCATCATCATCAGCATCATCATCCTCATCAGAATCATCATTATCAGCATCATCATCAGCAGCAGCATCATCCTCATCCTCCTCTTCCCCCGCCTGTTCCCTTAACCACCGCCCTCGACTTCCACCTCCTGCCGATCCTGCTCCTCATCCTCTTCTTCCTCCTCCTCCTCCTCCTGCTGCTCATCCTCCTCCTTTTCCTCCAGTTCTCTTCTTTATAAACAACTCCTCCCTGTCGCACCCCGAAGCCAGTGAGAAGGGCAGGCCAGGCGTTTCGCCTAAGACTTCCATACCACTCAAAATCATGATGCTCGGACATTGACAACAGTTTCACACATTGAGGGTGGGTGGTTTTCAAAATGTGGAATTCGTCTTAGCGCTGCGCACACTCGCCTGTAAACTGTGCACGAGCTTCACGGATTGAGGGCGGGTGGTTTCCCGCCTTTGCACCGCGCACATTCGTCTTAAATGTTGGACGAGGTTCACGGACTGAGGCCCGGGTCGTTTTCAAAATGTGGCCCTCAAGAGTTACAAGGGCTTCACGGATTGAGGGCGGGTGGTTTTCAAGATGGAACCCTCGCCCTTGCGCCGCGTACATTCTTTTGACAACAATTACAGGAGCTTCACGGAGTGATGGCTGCTCCTTTTTCAATATGTGGCTCTCACCTTAGCGTCGCGCACATCCGCTTACAGTACAACAAAATGTAAGAATTTCACGGGTCTCCACGGTCGGAGTACCAGAAACGGCGATGTGGAAAGAGTCAAGGTGGTCAGGGCGCAACGGGCACGTTGATTCGCAGTAGTGAAGTCCCAAGAACGGCGTTCTGGCACGATTCCGGAGGACAATGTTTTAGCACGTTTGAGAATCTTCAAACCATTGTCCCCAAACGGGGCACATCCCTCAGTAGAAACGGATCCTTGTAGGAGACGGTAAAGAGTGCGCCTGAAAGGAGGGTTTTCTCCGACTTCGTTGATAAATCTTGGGTTTACAATGGTCCTCCTCCTCCTTTTCTCCTCCTCCACCTCCTCCTAATTACCCCTCCTCCTCATCGTCATCTCCCCTCCCCTCTTCCCCATCTTCATCCTCCATCCCTCCCCTCCTCATCCACCCTCCCGACCTCCACCACCACCCACTCCTCACACACAGCGCGCGCGCACGCGCGCGGGCGTGGTACTTGCGCGCGTCTGTGTTTGTTTCTGCGTTGCCGCGCCCGCTTCCCGACGGATGCGCTCGTCGGCACGCCCGTCCTGCGACTGCACTCGTGCCGGTGCAATGGTGAAGAGTTCTGCTCGACCTGGTTAACTCCTCAAGCAATACATACTTGCGCTGAGTGGTTCCCGCTTGTGCCGTCCTGGTTCCGCAAGTCCGCTCCCGTATGCAACTCCACGCAAAGGGCTCCGCCCGTAGGGTTCCACACGCAGGGTGCCACCCACACGGCTCCCCAGTGATTTCCAGATGCAAAGATCAACCTTCAGGTTTCCGCACATTGGTTGTACCCCATAAGGTCAGGTCGGGCATGTCCTCCTACAGGCGGATTTTCGAAGGAAAAAAAAAATAGTCAGAAAACATTCAAACATAAACAAAAATAATATGAAAATCGTCCCCTTACTATGTTTGCGTATTTTTGAATATTCCTCCTGTAGAAGAAAATGCCCGACTTAACCGTAAGGGCCCGAATGCCCCGCGCAGACTGCACGCAACCACCGTTTAGGCCACACTCTTTGACATCATCCTGGAAGAAGTCAGCCACACAGTGCCCGTGTGACCTCCGAGGTCCTCACTTCGAGCGCGGTGCTCTTCCATGAACAAGAGAACCAGTGCAACCAGACCTTTTTGCGAGACAGGATGCACGCCCCTTAAGTGTGCGTGCGTGGGGATTTCGAACGCGCCCGTTGGTGTTGACGGCATTTGTTGATTGAGGCGGTTCCCGCCAGGAAAGGCCCCCTCTGGTTGCAAAAGGGCACCGTACGACCGACAAAAAACAAATTACAACAACCACAGCAACAACAACAACAACAAGAAGAACAGCAACAACAACAACAACAACAACAACAACAACAGCAACAACAGCAACAACAACAGCTACAACAACAACAACAACAACAACAACAACAACAACAACAACAACAACAACAACAACAACAACAACAAAACCTGCCTGTCCCTCTCCCCTCTCCCCCCTTCCTTCGCCCCTCGCCAAACACGCCTCCCGCTCCCCCTCGCTCCCCCAGCCTCCCCTGCCCTCTCCCCCCGGTCTCCCCGCGCTCTTCCTTCCACTCCCCCCCCCCACACCCTCCGCTGTCCCCCCTTCCGCGCCCTGGCCTGCCGCCTCGCCGTGGATGTCGACGTCGAGGACGTCGCGATCTGTTCCATGGTGGCACTCGACTCGATCGGACGCCACAGTCGTGACGTCTTCACAACGTCGACCCCCAAAGGTCTGGACCCCCTCCCCCCGACTGGTGGTTCATTCCAGGTTGTTGCTCGACGGTCCCAAAATCTGGCGAGGGCCCCTGGAAAACGAAAACGGCCAAAAACGTCCTGCAGTGATTTTGCCCACGACGCGACCATGTCTGGGACACCAAAGCACCGCCCCCCCGACCCCTCTGTGATTGCATCGGGGCGGTTCCCTCTTCCTGCTGCTTGCAAGATTCCGTTTGCATTGCTCGGCCCGCCCAACTCGCGCGCCCTAGCCGCCAGATGGGCCAGGGGTGTTTTAAATACTCCTCTTTCTGCTCTTCCTCTTCCTCCTCCTACTCCTTTACCCTCTCTCCTTAGAAATAACTCCTTCCTCTCGCACCCCCAGACGTTTCGCCTGAGACCTCAGCTAGCAAAATGCGATCGAACCGAATCGGTCCGCACGCGGACGTGGGCAGAAAGCTATGAATTCTTGCGGGAGGCGGTCAATTGACGTGCAGAATTGGATTCAAAAGTCCAGCGCAGAACCCTGGGCCTGCGCACGCAACTCCCTGTAGCCTTGATCAGCGACGTACCGTGGCTCCCCGAAGCTTGCACGCGAGTACCTTTTGTAAGCGATCGTCCCTACGACATGCTGAACGACCTCGTCCACGGCCTGCCCTGGCATGGGTGGCAGGCGGGCTCAAGCTGGATACTCGGTGCGCCCAGATGTCCGATTTCTGTCCAAGCTGACCGGCGAAGCTGTACTGCAAATGGGCCAACCGCTCCCGCCAGCATTGAACCGGGACAGAACTCAGAGACCTGTCGACCCGGTCGCTCATTCTACGCGTCGGGATGTTCCAGTCTTCGTCGTCAAGCCCCACCCAGCCCGCAATCAAGTGCAGCATGTGTCGTCGCAGAACGTCCAACTGTTTCTTCTTGCGCGTCGTCAGGACAGCCGTTGGCAAACCGAACAACACCGCAAGCGTTACGACTGATTCGAAGAGCTTCGAGCTTAAGGCGGCGATGGGCGGAAACTGATTTTCATAATCCTGAAGCTTGAATTTTGCAGCAGATTCAGAGATGGGGGCGGGCTGGTTCCTTGTCAAAGTGCGGTTCGCGCATGAGCGCTGGGCACACTCCCTTTAAAACTACGCAGCTGTTTCAAGGGTTCGCATGGTTGAAATACCAGGAACGGTTTTGTGGTACGATTCACGCTTGTACGGATTCATTGCGCACTGGCACGATTTAGGACCGTCAGGACGCAGAAGTCACGTTGCTTTGTAACGTTGGAATCCAGAACTGATGTGTTGGCTTGGTGTTTGGTTGCGAATGATCAGAGGGTTGTCTTCCAATGAAAATCACTTTTTGGAGGGGCGTACGACAGGGAACTTGGAAGGACAATGTATTGCAGCACCGTTGATGCGTCTTGGATGTACACTGGTCCTCCTCCTCCACCTCCTCCTCCTCCTCCTCATCCTCATCCTCCTCCTGCTCCTCCTCCTCCTCCTCCTCCTCCTCCTCCTCCTCCTCCTCCTCCTCCTCCTCCTCCTCCTCCTCTTCCTCCTCCTTATTATTATGGTTATTCCTCCTCCTCCTCCTTTTCTTCCTCCTCCTCGTCCTTCTCCTCGTCCTCCTCATCGTCATCCTCATCTTCACATTCCCCATCCTCCTCAACGACGAGAGAAGGTGGGCGTCGTCGTCGTCGGCGTCGGCGTCGGCATCGACGGCGGCATCGGCGCCGGCGTCGGCGCTGTCGGGCCCGCCACGCCTCGAAGGTGCGCTTGCGCCCGTGCATGTGGGACGCGTACGGGTAGTCCCCTGAGATGCGCGCCCGGCGATCCGACAGGGTACTGAAAGGAAGGCACCAGCATCGATCCGAGGAACCACGGCTGGATTCGCCCCGAAATCCTGGCCAGAAAGAGCCTCGGGACAGGTTCGGGGAATAGGCGTACATGTTGGTTTCCACTGGTGCCTCTTCCTGCTCTTCCTTCGCATCGGGAACAACACCGCAACCTCCTCATGTAACCCTCCCAAACATCTCATTTTTGAAAATGTCCAACTGAAAAGTTTGGAATTGGAGCTCCTGCTCTTTATCTGCGCCTCCCGCCCTCGGAAGCCCCCACGCGGATGCACGCGGGATACACGCGGCCAGAATTATAAAATGATTCCCACGGAGCACCAGATAAGTCAAGATTGCCCCCGAAACGCCGCAACGTTCCCAGGAATGTCCAACGCAAAAATTCCAGCCTATGCGCAGTCCACCCAAGGACCTCTGCTCGGGACCATTTCCCCGCGCTCGATGCGCAGGGGGTTGCGCACTCCACCACCTTGAACATTTGCCTACGGCACTTGTTCCAAGCGCGCATGTCCACCCGCTGGGCGGCGCATTCGACCATTTCCGAGCTTCGGGCCTCGCGCTTCCTGTGGGATGCGCCGAACAGACGCGCCGGGAGTGCGCGCCAGGGGTGTGCGCCAGGAGGGTGTGCCGGGGGGGTGGGGCGGGGGAAGGGCGGGGAGGCAGCGGCACGCGGGGCAGCGTGCCCAGGAAGGGGGCGGGGCGGAGGGGTGCGCCGGCGGTGCGCGCCATCGAGATTGCGCCAGAGGGGCGCGCTAGGGGCGCGCGCCGGGCCGACGAGGAAACACTTGGGCCCGCGGAACGGAGCTGCCCCCTGGGCTGGCCGCGCGCGCGCGCCACAGGCGGAGGAACTGCACGCGGAATTGAACTGCCGGGCAAACTCCCAATCACCGTTCGGGGCACCCGCTCGAGCGATAGCGACAAGTCCTGCGGCACTTCCGCTTCCGATTCCGGTCACAGCTCCGCCCAGGCCCCCAAGGTTCCGCCAGGTCCCCGCGGCCCGGGCTGGTTCTGCACCGCAAGGGGGGCGGGAGCCCTACAGTCGGACCTGGGCTAGAAGAGCACCCTTCGAAAACGCGAGGCCCTCCGCAGGCCAAAACACGCAGAACATCCCAGGGTACCCTCCCCAGGATGCGCATGAACATCCATCGAACACGAAGAGCACGAGGGCACTCTCCCCGAATCGACCTCGATCCTATACCTCGGCCCGACTGTAGCTGGTGCCACGGGGGACACGCGCAAGCACGGGTTGTGAAGCTCTCGGCGATTCGTGGGCCTCCAGGTGGTCTCGCCGCTCTTGCAATGGCGGCGGGCACGGCCGCCGCGGGCCTCGCGCGAAAGCGGCTGGCCACTGACGCACGGATGGGCACGGGAAGACGGGTCCACAGAAGTATGGTTCAAGATGGCTCCGCCTGTGATTCCAAGTGGTCCCAAGACCACCGCAAGGCAACACACGATGGCCGCCAATCCGGCACGAGATGAAACGATAGCGGCATGAAGAAACAAACAGGAGAGTAGCCATGGGTAGCCCCAAAAAGAAACAACGGAGGCACGGGGGGGAATGGCAGGGAAGGCTGGGAAGAGAGAGGACGAGGCGGCGAGGGCGAATGGTAAAAGATGGCTGGAGAGAGTAGAAATCAAGAGAGGTTCGCATCACCTGTCACCTCCGACGCCGTACCCCTTCCACCAACCTTACGAATGAGGCAACCGCCAAGTGCTGTCGGCCTCCCGGGGTCCTCGCTGGGCCCCGGGACCGACAAACTACGACTCTGGACGACAAGCCGCCCCTGGGGAAAGGGTCGGGCTTCCTGGGACCCATTTCCAAAAATACGAGACATCGGATCTCGGGGCTCCTGCTGTACGACCTCTGTGATGATACCAGCGACAACTGCAAAGCCGACAAGCACAATGCATCCCCCTCAGTGTCATACTCTTTCTCATCATCAATAGTGTCACCACCATCATCATCCTCATCCTCATCATCACCACCACCATCACCACCGCCATCACCACCATCACCATAATCATCGTCGTCATCCCCATCCTATTCGTCCTTGTTTTCGTGATCGTCTTCGTCCTCCTACTGACTGTTAGCAGACTGGTTTCCAGAAGCCGTGCGGTCCATCCAGACCTTGAGATTGGCGCCTCACTGGAAGAGCAGGGAGCGCCTGAAGGTTCCGTCCTCCAAAACCTTTGCATTGCAGTGGAGGCCAGTCCACAATAAACCTTCCACAAGAAACCCAACCCTGAGACCCCAGGACGTCCATTGACGCTTCCATGGCAAAACCATCGAGACCCAAGAAACCCTGGAGGCAAGCAGGGTGTTTCTTGACATGGGCCTCGACTGTAGATCAGAATGTGAACGATGTGGCTGCTCCGCTTGCTTGCGAGGGCCGAAAGCGAGGGGGGGGAAGGAAGAGAGACCCCGCGCCACCAGTTCGGGGGACGCCAGCTATGCACCGACAGCCGACCCTGGCCAGGCGCATCTGGGGCCCAGAACCGGTGTAGTAGGCACCCTCGTGGCCTGGCAAGGAAGGCGTGCACACTGCTCCTGGAACCAAGGCCTGCCCTTGCCCAAGATCGGGGTTGGTTGCGGGCACGATTCGTGTGCATATCCACTGCGTCTTGGACTTTCTGTGAAGGGGCGCCAACAGGCCGCGGCGCAGTGGATAGGGGTAAACATCTGACCTCTGGGGGCGAGAATGTGTTGTCCATCTCCACGGCGCCACTGGTATCGGAGGAAGGGAGCCCGAAACTCCAAGACGCAGCTTGCACGGATAACAATCTTGCCCGCACTGGTGAAGAGTTGGCGTCTCCCGAGCAGCGCCCCTCTGCGCGCAGCCGACGCCCGCCTCCCACCCTCAGACGTCTCTGGACCACCCCTCGGGCCGACGGGCAGCTCGCTCCCGAGCCGAGAGGTCGAGAGGCGACCGAGGAGGCGAGGCGCGAGGCGGGGGTTGAAAGGACACAGATCGGGCCACCATCTCGCTCGCTCGCCGCGGAGCAGCCGATGATCCTGAATATATGACGACCTGCCAGACCACCCCAACCCCACCCGAAGACCCGAACTTCGGGTTGGGGGGGCTACGGGCTTCACACGTGGTTTTTCAATGTGTTCCCCGACACCCCACCCCACTGGGAATGGAGGGCAGATCGGAGCCTCCGGGTTGGGCTGGGGAGTTTCGGTGGGCGGTGAGAAGAAGCGTCACCACGATCTGACGCTGGGAGGGCTCCGAGGCGCGAGGTCGAGGTGAACGTACTGCGTCAGGGTACGGGTTCTTCGCGAGCGCGCTAGCAGTCGAAGCATTCACCAACGGGGAGCAAGCAGCTCTTACTGCTTGAGACGATCACGGGGGCCGACACAGCCTGGAATGTATCCCCTCTGGGGGTCCACATCCGCCCTGCGGTCACGCATCCGTCGTCCTCGCCGCCATCCCCGAAACATCCGACTTCGCGAAAAGAAGCACGGCATCGCAAAAAGACACAACACACACAGATACACAGATACACACATACACACTCTGAACCCTCCACGCCATCGTTAGATTGGATATTTCGAGCCAGAAGATATGAGCGAACCCCAGGGTCCGAAACAGGGCTACCACGCTTCACCGTGTCATGTACTACGCCCGATGTTGAAGGTGATCCTTGTCCGTTTCCTGCTCCCTCCATGGAACCATCCGAAAATACAGAAAACCTACGAAAACATCCGAGGCCTCCGAAAGCATCAAAACACCTTGAGACCATATGCAGAAACCATCCTGATCATTCGTCCGTCTCCTCATCCTCCTCCTCATCCTCCTCCTCCACCTCCTCGTCCTCTTCCTCTTCATAATCGAATATATCATCATTGACATCATCATAATCACAATTACTATAGGCAACATCACAGTGGCAACCAGAGGAATACTCGCAGTCTTTGCATAACCGTCACATCAATTATCAGAAACACCAGCGTCGTCGTCGTCGTTATGAACATCAGCACTACCACCAACACCACACCCATCACCATCACCAGAATAAGCAGAATGATCATCTTCAGAGCATCGTCGTCGTCATCGCCATCGTCGCAATCAGAATCAGCATCGTCATCATCATCTTAATCATCATCGTCATCAGCATAATCAACAACAACGACGGCAGCATCATCATCAGCTTCATCCGTGCCGTATCACCAGCAGCTCAAACACACTCAGCATCATGCTCCTCAGTCTCGTCGTCGTCATCATCACCGTCATCCTATTCTAATTGGTATGTTCCGAGTTCGTCCGTATCGTCTTGTCTTCGGCATCACCATCATCATCCGGGAGAGCTCCGTCCCAAAAACTCCGACGACGTGGTCGTTTCAATACGAGGTCCCCGAGAAACTCTCGTCCCGGCCCCGTAGACCCAGACACGCTAGACCCGGACACCCAACATCCCTTGAAACCACTTTTTCCAGACGGCGGCACGAACAAAACACTGCACTGCAGCACTTCCAGAGTAAGCCCGGACACAGGCCCTGAAAGCAGCCTGCAAGACCCCCCCAAAGCCGGACACAAACCCGAATCCTGCAGCGCGGCAAACAAAGCATGCACGGGTGCTGAAAAATGTGACTTTGCAGGAAAGGGTGTCGCTTCCTTTCGCCGAGCGCGTTCCACTACTCGCAAAAAGCCTACTCACAAACGTCCGAAAAACACTGGTCTGCTTTGATGCAATGTATGGTAGATCCCCGGCGGGGGATCCAGGCCATTTGCGAGTAGTTACTTTGCGAGTAGTGTAACGCGCTCGTCGTTTCCTTGGTTTCCCGTGTCCTGGTTTATTTGTGCCCTGGTCTCCGGGGGCCTGCTCGCCCTTCCTTTCCAGAGCCGGCACTATTCGGCCTGGGCCGCGGCGGCGTCTGGCGACCCAAAAGGCCCGCAACGGGCCCGGGGAAGCCCAAACATCAAGGACAAGAACTGCCACCGAAGACCAGGAGGAGGAGGTCAAGGAGGAGGAGGAGGAGGAGGAGGAAGAGGAGGAGGGGGAGGTCAAGGAGGAGGAGGAGGAGGAGGAGCAGGAGGAACAGGAGGAACAGGAGGAGGAGGTCGAGGAGATCTCAAGGACAAGAACTCTTGTCCTGCCGAGGCCGCGCAAAAAACATCGGTCCTCGAGCCTCCTCGCTCCTCCCCCCTCCCCCCGCTGATGCTGGAGGGTGCTGGGGCTCCGCCTGACTGGAGGCGCTCTGGCTCGGTGGTGGGCTTGTGCAGGACGAGGATCTCGCGAGCGAGGGAGGGGGGAGGAGGGAGAAGAGGGCGGGGAGAAAGATGAGAGAGAGGGAAGATAAAGATGAGAGGACGGAGGGGTGAGGAGGGAGAAGAAGATGGGAATAAAGATGAGAGAGGGAAGTCTGGACTGAAACACCCAAGAAACAGAACGCTCCAGCTCTCAGGCGTGATGGCCAGAGATTGGGACGGGTGTTCTTGTCATAGCACTGTGTTCACTTGATTTGCGTCGCTTGCAGCATACCGCTGGCAAAAAGAGGAGGTGGTGTTGGACACTTTTGAGAGGGAGAAAGGTGCTCTAGCAGGTTCCAGGGGGCTCCCCCATCCTCCCTCCTCCGGTGCATCCAGGCAGCCCCCTGACCAAAGCCAAAAGGAGGGGGAGCGGGGAGGGGGAGCGGGGAGGGGGAGAGGGAGGAGGAGAGGAGGAGGAGGAAGAAGAGGAGGAGGAGGCTGAAGAGGAGGCTCAAAAGGGGAAGCCTTGCATGCTCCCCGGCCGTTTCGGGAGAGGGGGAGGGGCGCTGGAGGGAAGGATGAGGATCCTTGAAAGATCATGGGGAGGCCCTGAGGTCAGGAACGAGCGGCATGACCGATCCCAGACATGCGATGTCTTGAGTGTTTTCATACGGGGCCCCTGGAAGCCCCAACCTGTTTCCTAGGGCCGGCAAGTGTTGCGTCCTGAGTCCTTTTTTGACGGTCCTGGGGGGGGGCCTGGCAATGGCACCCAAAGGCCGACAACAGCCAAAAATCATCCATCATGGTTTTGTCACGATACAAGCGTGTCTTGGATATTAAAACGCCGACCCCGACCTCCCCGTGACTGCCTCGAGGCGCCTCCATCCTCTTGCTGCTTGCGAGATTCCGCTTGCGCCGTTCGGCCCGCCCAGCTCGCGTGCCCTGGCCGCCAGAATTGCCGGAGGTATTTCACTTCCTCCTCCTCCTCCTCCTCCTCCTCCTCCTTCTCCTCCTCCTCCTCCTCATCATCATCCTCCTCCTACTCCTCCTCATCATCATCAGCAGCAGCAGCGGCAGCAGCATCAGTATCAGCATCAGCATCATCATCCGCATCTTCATCATAATCATCATGATGAGCATCGTCATCATCAACAGCAGCATCAGCATCATCATCATCAACATCATCATCATCATCATCAGCAGCAGCATCATCAGCATCATCAGCATCGCCATAATCAGCGTACTCATCATCATCAGCAGCAGCAGCATCATCAGCATCATCAGCAGCGCATCATCATAATGATCAACCGCATCATCATCATGATCATCAGCATAATCAGCAGCATCATCAACATCGCCAGAATCATTGTCATTCAGATCATTACCACCATCATCATCACCACCCACCAATCAGCATCGTCAGCATCATCATCAGCATCATCATTAGCAGCATCAGCATCGTCATCGTCATAGTGATCATCAGCAGCAGCATTACCAGCTTCATCATAATCAGCATCATCACCATCATCATCAGCATTATCAGCATCGTCAGCATCAGCATCATCAACATCAACATCATCACCATCACTCACCAGTCATCACCATCATCAGCAGCATCAGCACCATCATCAGCATCATCATCTCCATAACTTACACCAGCATCAGCAGCGGCACCATCAGCACCATCAACATCAGCATCAGCAGTATCAGCTCCATCGCCCTCATCCTCAGCATCACCATCATCTTTAGTTTCAGCATCCACAACATCACCATAGTCATCAGCATTGTGATCATCATCGTCGGCATAATAATCAGCATCATCGGCATCATCAATAGCATCATCAACAGCATCATCATGATCATCATCATCTGCAGCATCAGCATCGTCATCATCTTACTCCTCATCAGAATCCATCTCCATCGCCTCCTCCGCATCATCACCATCACCTTCATCATCAGCATCATCAGCATCGTCATCAGTAGCAGCAGCATCATCACCAGCATAACCATCATCATCGTCATCAGCAGCAGCATCGTCATCATCAGCAGCATCAGCACCATCATAACCATCATCACCAGCAGCAGCATCATAATCATCATCAGCACCACCATCATTCATCAACATCACCACCATCATAATCATCAGCAGCTGCAGCATCATCATCCTTGCCGTCATCAAACAAATCCTCCTCACCATCCGCATCTAGCCCCTGCACATCCATCTCCTCTTCCGCAGCCTCATCACTCTGGCCCTCATGCTCCTCCTCCTCCTCATTATC